TGCCCTCAGAAAATAAGTGTTGCGGCAATTTGCTTAAAAGAATAATTTTCTCAAAAAAAAAACTAAAATCCTTCTTGGTTCATTTTACCATAGGATACACAATTCCCTAATCTCATTTTCCAACATAGGGTCTCCACTCCCTAGTTGTTTTTATTTTAGACATAGGGTCGCCACTCCCTAGTCTCCTTTTCCAACATAGGGTCTCAACCCCCTAGTTGATTTTGTTTTAGACATAGAGTCTCCACTCCCTAGTCTCCTTTCCAACATAGGGTATCCACTACCTAGTTGATTTGATCTTAAATGCAGGGTACACCACTCCCTGATATCATTGCCAATATAGGGTATACCATTCCTTGGCCACATTTTCCCAACATAAGGTATACCAATCCTTAGTTGAGACATCTTTTTGACAATAACGGAACACCATCAAAAAGAAAAAAAACAATCAAGATCTTTTCAGGGTACACCATTCCCGACCTTTTATTGCTTTTAATAAAGAAGTAGTTTAGAATTTTGTTATAATAACTCACGAAATTTTCCTAGTAAAACTGGGGCAGAAAAATTTTGTTCGTTCGTTTGTTTTGGTGTCTGAGCAGGTTTTATCTCGAGTCACAGGGTTCGAGATGACCATAAGAAGAAGTCTCAAAGCAGAATAAAAGAAAAGAAACAAGAAGTGCATCCAAATGCAGAAGCACATGAAAGATGTGAACTGCTCAAGACATGACTGAAGTCGCGAGCACTGCATTCCCGGTTTTATCAGAAGAGGCCGAAGAAGAACGAACTAGCACCTGCAGCTAGCAAGCATCAAGGTTCAGATCAGAGTCTGCATGAAGAACCAGGCAAGGCTCAAGATCAAGCTTCAAAAGATTCATAGATAGGAATCTTGTAACTCGTAGCTGATAGGCTTAGTTAGTCTTTTTCATTTTGATTTTGATGTAATAACAGGACCACGGACCGGACCCTCGATGGAACCTCACTCGACTCTCTCATCCTCTCCACATACTCCATCACTTCATTCACTTCTGAACTACACGTGGCTGATTCCTTTATAGCCAAGGATATGTAGGCAGCTCAGATACCAGTGCTCGGTCACAACCTTTTTATCCATCTTTATTTTCTTTCGAATAAGTGTCGGGTCAGAGTCAGTTATGTTGCTTACTTAATTCTTTGCTCAAAAACTCTTCGAGTTTCCAAGCAAAGAGGGGCAGCTGTAAGCACGGAAATTTTTACATGCATGGTTTTTAAGAGTTATTTTTAGTATTCGTTGTATTTTTAGTATCTATTTGATTTTATGGAATTTTAGTATACTTTTATCTTCAATTTTAATTTTTAAACATAAAATTGAAAATACCAAAATAGTTCATTACATATTTTCTTATTTTTTTTACTTAAGGCCATTAGTACTTTACAGTAATATTTTGACTTTCCCTATGATTTCAATTTGTTTCATTTTCTCCACCTCATTTGAAAATACAAAAAAAAAAAATAGTTTCATATTATGATATAGTTTTACGTGAATAGACCACAACTTCAAATAATAATAAATAAATATGTTTTAAATCGTGGGTGCGTTTCACGTTACGCGATTCGCAATGTGTACAAAAAACAATAAGTGCGCGAATCGCAACTTATTTAAATGAATTCCATAAATAATTAAAAGTGGTTAAAGGCTAAAAATGCACAATAGGTTTTAAATGTGTAATAAATCAAATAATTAGGCTAATGATTAATAGTTGAGCGACCATGCTAAAACCACAGAACCCGGGAGTGCCTCACACCCTCTCCCGGGTTAACAGAATTCCTTATCCGAACTTCTGTGTTTGCGGACCGTAGAAATAGAGTCAATTTCCTCGATTTGGGATTTTAAAATAAACCGGTTACTTGGGACACCATAAATTATTTCAAGTGGAGACTCTGAATAAATAAATAATCTCATTTTGATTAATGTCACTTTAATTGGAAAAACTCCCTATCCCTTCGGGAAAAAGGAGGTGTGACAATTTTCACTTCTATTTTGGTTAATCCTATAATATTTTAGAACTCTTACTTGTCCTATAGTTATTTTCTCCAAGAGGTCATCTTTCGAAATATTTAATATACTCGTAAATACTAGTATAAGTAATATTTAAAGCAATCTATTCAGATTCTTTTAATTACTATATAATATTTAAAGAAGATATATTTAGAAAACGTTTGATTATCTTCTCCACAGGAGAGGTGATAAGGGTCTTTGTACGGATTGCAAGGTTATCCCGAATGAGTGTCTGTCGATGCTGCATAGGCTCTTAGTAATGGACTTAGAGGTCAAGGGAGCACGGAAGAAGAGAGCGGTGTACGGCCAACCTAAGATCAAGTGGGGAGCCTTGACTAAGGGAAAGGCTCAGGAGTTTGGGGAGAAACTGTTGGTTGTGGGGGCCTGGAGGAGTAGTGGGGACGCGAGTAGTATATGGACCACGACAACGAACTGCATTAGGGAAGCTACTAGGGAGGTGTTAGGGGGTCTCGAAGGGTTACTCGAGTGGCCACAAAGGGGACTGGTGGTGGAATGAGGAGGTCCAAGGAAAAGTGGAAGCTAAGAAAGCGGCATATCTGAAGCTAGTGGGGAGCACGGACGAGGAAGAGCGAAGGTCGTATAGGGAGTGTTATAAGAAGGCAAGGAGAGAGGCAAAGCTCACGGTTACGGCGGCTAAGACTGCAGCTTTTGAAAGATTGTATGAGGATCTTGGGGGCAAAGGACGGAATAGGAAGCTGTACAAGTTAGCTAAGATTAGGGAGAGGAAGGCTCGGGACCTGGATCGAGTGAGGTGCATCAAAGACGAAAACGGGTAAGGTATTGGTGGAAGAGGCGTGTATCAGGCGTAGATGGCAGGAGTACTTCCATAGACTCTTGAACGAGGAAGGGGATAGGAACATCGTGCTAGGTGAGTTGGAGAACTCAGAGAGTCGGAGAGATTTTGGGTTTTGTAGGCATATTAAGTGTGAGGAGGTTGATGTGGCAATACGGAAGATGAGCAGGGGTAAGGCGACTGGGCCTAGGGCCTGACGAGATCTTGGTGGAATTTTGGAAAGAAGCGAGTAGGGTAAGCTTGGAGTGGCTTACTAGCTTGTTTAACGTCATTTTCAAGACGAAGAAGATGCCCAAAGATTGGAGGTGGAGTTTGATGATTCCGTTGTACAAAAACAAAGCTGATATCCAGAACTACAACAACTATAGGGGTATCAAGCCACTGAGTCACATTATTAAGGTTTGGGAGAGGGTGGTGGAGAAGAGAGTGAGGACAGGCGTATCTATCTCTGAGAACCAGTTCGGATTTATGCCGGGACGCTCAACTACAGAAGCCATTCACCTTGTGAGACGATTGGTGGAGCATTATAGGGAGAGGAAAAAGGACTTGCACATGGTGTTCATTGACCTTGAGAAGGCTTATGACAAAGTCCTGAGGGAAGTGCTATGGATATGTTTGGAGGTTAGCGAAGTTCCGGTAGCGTACATTAGGGTGATTAAGGTCATGTACGAAGGCGCTAAGACTCGGGTGAGGACTACGGGAGGAGACTCGGAACATTTGCCTGTGGAGATGGGGTTGCATCAGGGATCAACCCTTAGCCCGTTTTTGTTTGCCCTAGCGTTGGATGTGCTGACACGACATATACAAGGGGGGGTGCCATGGTGTATGTTATTTGCTGATGACATAGTACTGATTGACGAGACGCGAGGGGGTGTTAACGCTAGGTTGGAAGTTTGGAAACAGACGCTGGAATCCAAAGGTTTCAAGTTGAGTAGGTCGAAAAATGAATACTTGGAGTGCATGTTCAGTGATGAGAGGCATGAAGAAGAAGTAGAAGTAAAGATTGATACTCAAGTCATTCCCACAAGAGATAGTTTCAAGTATCTTGGGTCTATAATCCAAAGCAACGGGGATATTGACGAGGATGTTACTCACCGCATTGGAGCGGGTTGGATGAGATGGAGGCTAGCTTCGGGGGTTTTATGTGATAAGAATGTGCGACCTAGACTTAAGGGCAAATTCTATAGGGTGGTGGTTAGACCGGCTATGTTGTATGGAGCTGAGTGTTGGCCCGTCAAGAAGTCCCATGTCCAAAAGATGTGCGTAGCAGAAATGAGGATGTTCAGATGGATGTGTGGACATACCAGGAAAGACAAGGCAGGAATGAAGTTATTAGGGACAAGGTGGGAGTGGCATCCGTGGAAGCCAAGTTGCGGGAGTCGAGGCTGCGATAGTTTGGGCATGTGAAGAGGAGAGACATAGATGCCCCGGTCAGGAGGTTGACCATGAGGGGCTTGATGAAGGGCAAGGGTAGGCCAAAGAAGTATTGGGGAGAGGTGATTAGGCAGGACATGTCGGTGCTTCACCTAATCGAGGACATGACTTGCGATAGGAAGGTGTGGAGGTCGAGGATTAAGGTGGTGGGTTGACAGACACTTGTGAGTTTCTCCTAAGTTTACCAGTAGTACTAGTAATATTCTTGTGTGGGTTGAAAGTTACTTCCTTCTAGTTTGTTAGTGTATCTGGTACTTAGCAACCACGTCCATTATTTTTGAAAATTGCTACTGGGATTGTTGCTCCCTGATTATTACTATTTGATGCTACTTTTTCTCCCTTTTACTGGATATTGTTGCTCCCTAATAATTATTATTTGATGCTACTTTTTCTCCTCTTTCCTTATCGTCTTTTGCCTCCCTCTTCCTTCTTTCTCCCCCCTCTTTCCTCTTCTTCTTCTCCCATATTCTTTCTTTCCACCTTTTCTTGAGTCGAAGGTCTATCGGAAACAACCTCTCTACCTCTCCAGGTAGGGGTAAGGTCTGCGTACACACTACCCTCCCCAGACCCCACCCCTGAGATTATACTAGGTATGTTGTTGTTGTTATATTTAGAAAACGTGAATGTTTCCTTCAGCACTTTAGATTATTTACATGAATATTTATTTTAATCTAGAAGTTTTTAAAAGGGGCATGCATCCCAGTTATACACATTATGAACTAGACAAATTCATGATGCTACGAGCTACTAACATTGATCTTCTTTATTGGAACTGAAGATCCTGAACAAAATGAATTAGCAATCATTATTCAAATTAAATCTTCACAGAAGAAGACAACAATCAAAGGACTTGTACAGAATCACATTTTCAATTGCGTATCTTCGATACATTGGATTGTTTTTGTTGTCATAACGAGCCAAAGCCCTCTGGCGGCCATACCTGTATATTAAAGAAAAATAGCAAATTAGTTCTGCTTACCAGATATTAAAATGATTACTAAATATATCAATTGTCTGATTCTAACACCCAAATGTTGTGCATTAATGCCCAAGTGATATGAATATTTGATGTAAGTCGATGAATTAGCATGAAGAAGTTATCCAATTAATGGCAAGTAACCATCATATAATCAAATCAAAAGACTTCCAAAGTAGACGATGGTTATGATAAGAATACGGCAGCTCTTATCTTGCCTGGGATGTAAAGACAGATAAACTGCAATTGCATATGAACTTGGAGTTAGTAGGGTAAAACGTGCCTAAGCTATTGGCTAGAGTTTCCCATTATATAGTGAATTTAAGGGCAAACAATATTCTCTGTGTTGCTTGGACTTGGGTGCGGGTAGCCGATCCGCGTGTAGATCTAGATCGGGTCCTTCATAATTTAAATTTTAAGATTCGAGGATATGGATCCAGGTACGGATACGGGTACAGGAATTCGGCTAAAAAATAATTGAAAATTCTAAAAATAGCTCTATAAAAATATCCAAAGTTATGAGAGACATTCTGCGGAAAACATATAGGTTATAGAATGCAGCCAATAATTCAATATTTCATTTTGAGAATATCTCAAGTTGTAGGCACTAGGCACCAGTAAGCAGCTAAAATTCAATCCTCCATTTCTCATTTTTTGCCAAATTTGTCCATGGATTGTGGTCAAAGTACTCGATCTCGATTGACCACATCCAGTACGAATCCCACACTCTTACCGGTACCAGTGTCGCGGCTACGGCTATAATGAAGAGTCCGTGCTAACATAGATTATTCCTCAATGCCATGTCATCCACAGGGAATATAAAGAGTACATCAGAAAAGGTTAATGGTTCATTAATATGGCTATGAAACTAAGGGAGCTAACAACAATTTATCCAAATGACTCTATAAACAGCAAGACTAGAGACTGACCCTATCAGAAGCTCATTCAAACCTTTCAAAAAAAGTAGCAATGATCAAATGCCAGGCCAAGTAATCAATGCTGGTTGATTCTTCATAGGACTAACATTTGTACATTTTAGTTTGTGAAAGGTTCTCTACCGTTTGTTATACCTCTTGCATTCGTAGTTTTTCCCCCACAAAAACAATAAACTATTACTTCATCGGAAAAAGATTGCAAGCTTTAGAACCTTTACAAATAGAACTACACAGAAGTTATAAGTTCAGCCTCGCTTAGATAGTAAAGGTAATGAAACTTACTCTACACAACACTTTCCCCAGGATGAGACCATAAGGGATTGGCCCGAGTTGCCGTGAATCCTTGGAAGCATAAATATTATCTCCCTGAATCCAAACATGCCCCTTTGGAACCTAGATATCCCCCACATCAAGAGAAATGGAGGGAAGGGAAAAAACTATTAGATTATAAAGGGCATCACAAGTAGAACTATTATGGAACGAGAAAACAAGATATCACCTCATTCACACAGTAAGCATAGGAATATCACCTCAAGCAAGAATACAAGCCAGTTTCAAATTGTTATTCTAATAAGAGGAGTCTGGAACCAAAATGATGCAACCCATTATTGTTCAGATTAGTGACAACCCCTTTTCGTGATTTAGTTAGTTTTTTGCATTATTTTGCTTCAGGACTAACTAGGGCCTATATATCTCAGTTTTAACTGCGATAATCGTATTAATGTTCAGTTTAGTTTTGGCAACTCATTTCGTGATTAAACTAGTTTATAGCATCATTTTGGTTCCGGACTCCTAACAAGAGAATCAATATGAAACTGCTAAAAAAATATAACATTTGAATACAATAAAACTTTAAGCATTTTAGAGAAGCGCTTCAAATCTAATTTTTTTAATTCATTCACTTTGAAGTGAATGTGGCAGTAAAACCAGATTCAGATACCATACAAAAATGGAACGAAACTTGCATCAAAAACTGAAGGTGCTCTAGGAAACAATAGTGAGAGCCTAAGTGGGTAAGCATAAGGAAGCTTCAGAGTAACATGCCTAAAGTAGTGTAGGCCATGTTTCTGGTTTGTTTTAAGCAATATGAAGCACATTATCAGAGGTCCTGGTAATTACAATCAGTAAAGAAGACACTAAGATCCAATGGCTTAGCACATGACAATTGACAAGGCATTCTTCTACAAACCATATATTAATTAGAACTAGAGTACTTACCAAGGAATTAGCTGACATTTTAGGTTGAATGTGTGTTTTTTTTTCTTTTCTGGAATGAAGGTCAACAATGATCCTCTATATCCGTTCTGCTTTACCTGGGCTTATCTCATCCAATATTTAATAATTTATGGAGTTACTAAAACTAGAAGCTCCTCCTCACTCTAACATACAAATCTCTAAAAAGATTATGGGCAACAAATGAACCTAACGTAAGCATACCAACAACAATTAAGCCTTAACCCAAACAAGTTGGTATCATGTATGGATCCATTGCTTCCACTGTGTTATGTTCTTAACTAATTTCACTAGGATTGCAGGTTTTTCGAGACAACTTCTTTTCATGTGATTTTAAATCTACCTTGTTCTCTTTTAACACCTTCAATCATTATAGGTCACACTGACGGGCCAACACATTTGGAGGTCTATGTAGGACAAACCATCTCTCACCTCTCGGCTCTCAGTGTATCATAGATTTGGTGCTCTATGGAAGGGTGAAAACTAGGAAGTCAAAAGAGCAAAGGTACAACCTTTTCTCTCATTTGCTTAAATAGAAGCAAAGAGACTTCAAGAGTTAGGATCATTCACTGCAGCAACTGTGTGCTATCAGTCGTTTCAAACTTGGTAGAAATCTAAGGAAGGACAGACTTTTGCATCAATAAGGAAGGAGAAAGACACATAACATTAGGAAGATTAAAACAGTGAATCTGCATCCCAATGATTACGTTGGACTAATGAGTAATATTAAAAAATCATCAAGAATATAAATTATGCAGCCACAAGTGTTAAATAAACTGTGTTAGAAGAATGTATCCTAAGATATTTTTGTTTATCCCTTCCTATGACTTGTTCACTGCAACAATAACTCATGCTATATTGCAGAGTGGACATATGGTCTTATACTTAACCAATAAAATCAGTTCTAACTTGACAACTATCAGTAATCGATCCAAGAATTGAAAAGGGTATAATTACATAGAAAAAGAGCACACCTTTAAGGTGACATAGCGGTCACTTCTTGCAGGGTCGGCTAGAAAAGTGACAGTATCGCCCTCCATACCAACAATGCGTTTAGTAACAGTCTTTCTAGGGTTATCAGGTGAGCGAACGAGGACTACATCACCTGGTCCCAACTTATCCAACAACGGCGATAAGTGTTCGGCCAGCAAAACATCGCCGGTAAGATTCAGTGTCGGTAGCATACTAGGACCGTACACCTAAACCAAAAGAACATTCAAAAATTGATCTGAAAAGCTTAATTTTTGCCCAAATTAATGCAGATAAATCCGAGACATAGATACATACATACCATGACAGGGGAACAAATATAGTTATTGGTGACATGTAATAAGCAGAGGAATTTGGCGACAAGAAGTGATTGTTGAATTCCGTCTTTGGCTTTGGACTTCCATTGACTCAAGTACTGGAACACTCTCATTATCCTCTTCCACCTTCACGGCACGACCCAATTCGAAATTAGGATTTGGGCATTATACCGCACTCCTCCTGTGTAAGGTTTCTCTACAGTAAATTCTTTTCTTTACCCATACTTCACTCAACTCTAGCCATGTCACATGAATATTTTACTCCTTTCTCTCTCTTAATTATATGATTTTTTTTTTTTTTAGTCTTTAAAAACAAATATGTATTTGATAGATAAATATAATTTTATTTTAAATCATTCTTTTGACCCTTCCAGGTTGTTTGGATGGTTGTTATTCAATCGTATTGTATTGTTATTTCAAAATACTGTTTGTTTTACTAAAATTGGTTGTATTGTATTGTTAAATCCATTGTTCCGGAACAATGCAATATCGCATTTTTTAAAACAATCGATTTGATGTGGTGGGATTGTTTCCCATTTTTCTCTCCAATTATGCCCTAGCTTATTACTCCATAAATCTGTTTTACCCTTTACTTTTTTTCTTTTATTTTAACTCCAAATCTCCCGCCTATAACCTACTTTGTCTTCATCCCTTTTTTTCCCCAAACTTTTGCCGCTTCAAACAATAACGTCAAAGGTATTTTGCCTTCTTTTGTTTCGTTTTTCCCCCTAATTTGATTTTATCTCCAATTCTAATTATCTTTGTTCTACCAATTCTCGTTACTTTCTTTATCATAGTTCTTCAACATTTTATTTTTTGTTTTATCATTATTATTATAATCTAGAAAGGAATAGAGTGTACTTATTATTGTTTTTAATATTATTAACTTGTTCCACTAATTTTGTTAGAATTTGCATGAATTTAATTGCTTAATCTATCTATAAGGCATATTTGGTGATAAATTAGTAGAAATAGATTTTCTTAAATTATTTTTATGCGTAGTTCCTGATAAATTTAATATTTAAACAATTGAGGGTATTTTAGTAAACTTATCCGTTACAGTACAATACGATACAGTTACAGTCAAACCAAACAGCAAAATGTTATTTAACAACAACAAACAATACAATCTATCTAACGTTGTATTCATAAAACGTTACCATACGATACAGTACATTACAAAACGATGGGTAACAATGATCCAAACAGGGTGTTAATAAGATAATTTTGTGTGTGTGTGTGTGTGTGTGTGTATATATATATATATATATATATATATATATATATAGAGAGAGAGAGAGAGAGAGAGAGAGAGTTTATTTTAAATTACAAGTTTCATGAGTCTTTTTTTTTTTTTAAATAAGTATTTACTATTCTTTGTCATAATTCTTGTGACTTTTTCCATTTTTGTTCAAAATTTGAAGAATTCAACTATTCAAATTTTAAATTTGGTAGTGCTTTTTTTGTAGGACTAAGATTTTAGACTAGTACCATAGACTTATTGTGTTAAGTTAAGATAAGATTTTAAATTATGTGTTAAGTTAAGTAGTGTCATATAAGATGGAGAGGAAGTATTAGTTCGTACGTCTTTATTTGCGATTCTGATTTTAATTACGGCAAATATATTCTCAACAAAACAACCCTCCTCCTCTCAATAAAAGGAGAGAACAACATAATGTAGGTCCTTCGTGACTTTAAAGTTGCAACATATAATATCAATCTGAAAAAAGAGTTTTTCTAGGTTAAAGTTGAAGTTTTGCCTAAAGTATCTTTCTCCTGGAGCCCTTCTCTACTTTTTCCTAACAAATAATGTCACTTACAAATATGCAGATTATAGACTAAGATGGTTAAAGCACAGAAGAGTTGGCTTCTGGTATAGATAAGCATGTGACACCTCTTCTACATGTCATTTGAGTTCAACAAAGGAAAATGTAATCCTTGTTCAGGTGGAATGGAACTAAGTCCAGGGGCTACAGAGTTGGATCATTAGGGAAGGATAACATAGAAATGAATATATATCACCCAAGAAAACCAAGAGTAAAGTGTATATGACATTATTTGTAACGTGGAATTTCTTTAGTATACAACAACATTTGAATTTGGCAGTTCATTAGCCAAATTCTAAAGAATGCTAGGACACAGTATTGCTACATTATGTCCTCAATTACAACCTGTATATGAGTATACAAGCACAGAGAAGCACATAGGCTGTCCTATTGAAATTATAGTGACAAGAGTCTTCAACTCAATGCCTCTCTGATATTGTTAGATATAAGCTCTTCTATAGAGTATTATAGCCAAGGTGTATAATGTGCTTTCATCTATTCGATTCTCTCCAGATTATACTTCACAATTTCCTCAAGTGCTGCTCGGAAAGGACTAGAAGGAAGGCATTTTAGGCTCTGCAGTGCTAAATCAGCTTTCTCCTTTGCCAAATCTTGTGCTCGCTGAATTCCCCCGGTGGTCTTGACTAGATTAATGGCCTCCTCAAGAGAATCAGCATCGCGAAATTCTGATTCAATTATATTCCTAAGTTTTGGCTCTTTTTGTAATGCAAAAAGTACTGGTGCAGTAAGGTTTCCCTTGGCTAAGTCACTTCCAGCTGGCTTCCCCAATTTCTCTGCTGATTGAGTGAAGTCCAATATGTCATCAACAACCTGGAATGATAAACCAAGATTCTTCCCATACTGAAACATCTGTTTGCTAATATCACGGTCAACACCACTGAAAATGGCAGCTCCTTTGGTGCTTGCAGCAATCAAGGAGGCTGTTTTATAGTAACTCTTGAGCAAATATTCCTCCAGTTCAACATCACAGTCAAACAAGTTAGAGGCCTGCTTTATTTCACCACTTGCAAAGTCTTTAATAACCTGCCACAAAAACCAATAACCACAAATGGTTTGAGGTGCGACGAACTAATATTGATATCAACGTTGTCAATTCTGCAAGATGTACAAACCAAGAAGTTCCTAAGATACCTGACTGATGAGCTTTATGACTTCAAGATTTTCAAGGTTAGCTAGGTACCACGACGACTGTGCAAACATAAAATCACCAGCCAGTACTGCCACTCTAGTACCATATAATTGGTGAACAGTGTCCTTTCCTGGATTGGAAATTTTTTTAAGAGGTTAATTCAAGGAAGGTAAGGAGAAGGTAGAATAGAAATTGCAATTAAGAGAAGCAAGTTAGAAGAAGCACAAGGGTAAATGATTAGGTGATAGGATTGATGACCACCTGAATGACACACAGAGATTCATATTTGGAAGTGCTATTATGGAATCAATCATCAATTGATCTAAGCTCACGTACAACGGCAAATGAAGCATCAAACACGAGGGAAATTGGTGGTGGAAACAACAATCTAGTATTATCATATTTGAGTTTTTAAATAACTAAAGACAGTGCATTTGTTGACACAGCAGAGGAGAATGCTTAAAATTGTCACCTCTTCGTATGTCACTTTCATCTAACACATCATCATGTATCAAGCTTGCAGTATGGATCATTTCAATGATTTCAGCTAACCTTCTGTGTTCTACAGTCAGTTCCCTGGCAGCAAATTTTATTTTATAAATATTAGCTTAGCTGATACGTCGTTGTGAACAAGAAAGAAAATCAACAGTGCTCCTTACTTCAAACCAGAAATTGCTGCTGTGGCCCTTGACACTAGGAATACTAAAGCAGGTCTCACCCTTTTGCCACCAGCACCAAAAATCTGCTCCGCTGCAGACATCAAAACTGGGTTCTCTGAACCAACAATCTGAAAAATAAATTCTCTTAGACACAGAATAGAAGGAAGATAGATAAAAAGTAAATTTACTGATATATTCCATCTGAACATTCATGTGGTGTTGATCAAATTAAACAACATAGTTTTACAAACCCAAACAATAGCAAGTGGCAATTGCTGATATGAGTTTCTTCAGTTACTTGACAGTTGACATCACACTAGTCACCGTTAGAGATGTGTGTGCACTTATTTCTTGTATCAACTCTTTGAAACATAGTATGACCAAATATTAATTAAAATTGTCAAAAAGTAGGACTGACTTCTTAAAATGAACTTCAGAAGCTCAAGGTCAAGTATCATTTTGGAGTGATAGCATAGCTACTACTCCTTCTATGGTTAATTCTTCTAAGGCCAATAACCTGAATATAGTCAAATAAACATGTTTATTGATTCCAGTTATTCACTGTCACTACCATGACCATGTACTGGTCCAAAATTGCATCTCTCCTCCATCTAGAGCAGTTCATTTGGGATGACCAAATACCAAATAAATCTGTCTAAAAGAATAGATGTGACTCTATTAAATGATATCCAGAAGCTCAAGATTAATATATCATTTGGCAGTGTGATACTGTGACTCGTCCTATGATTAATTCTTCTTTGGCCGATAACCCAAATTTGGTCAAATATACATAGTTATTGATTTCTATTACTACTTTATGTTCCTTCTGCTTCGGTTTTCTTATTATCTTGTTGTTGTTTCTGCTTTTCTTTACCTGCCTTCTTCTGGTTTGCTTTCCTTGATCCAAGGGTCTATCGGAAACAGCCTCTCTACCCGCACAAGGTAGGTCTCGGCCCGAACCGTTTTGCGGTTCTAAAGGACCCTGAACAAAAAGAGGCAAAGATGCCAGATCTGGACACTTTGCGTAAACACTACCCTCCCCAAACCTCTCTCGTGGGGTTACCTGGGTGGCTGGGTATGCTATTGTTGTAAACATACTTATTGATTCCAGTTCGTTATCCTTACTACCATGACCATGCATTAACCTTCACTAAAACGATCATGTAAGGGCTCGTTTGGTAAAAAGGATAAGGGATAATTAATCCGGGGATTAAATTTGAGATGAGTTTATCCCACGTTTGGTTGGGATAAAATCACGGTATAACTAATCCCGGGATAGTGTTATTTTTATCCCTATGGGAGGGTAGAATAACAATCTTGGGATAATTAATCCTGGGATAACTTGTTTCCCAACCAGACCCCTAATAGTGTCTGAAACTGCACCTCTCTCCTGCATCCAGATCAGTTCATTTGGGAACAAAACTATGCTCGACTGAGAGTCGATGAAGTTATTATGACAAGTACAACTATTAGTTATCTGGCAATGCCAACAGAACATAAGCTCAAATGAACTGACCATGCCTCCAAAAGAATAATTTAATGACCCAAAGTATTCCCAGATAATGATAACATGGAGCTATCTTGGCAGCTA